AAAAATATCTAGAAAGCCATATTCTTATACGCCAAATTATGCTCTATTACTTCGAGAAATGTTGGTAGGCGGCACACTCATAACGTGACCTCAAGGAACTTCTCGGCGATGGAACAGTCAGCCAAAGCTGAATAAAGCACGGAAATCGCTTCTACGGTCGTCCTATTCTTCAATAGAAACTCCTGAAGGATTATCACGTTGATCGCCCGTTGAAAAATTGGGTAACGAACACAACTTTCGACGAAGTGGAGGGCTTGATGGCCAACTTCAAGGCGTGATCGCCTTCAAGAATCGAAACCTCTTCGCTTGTGGAATCCGACCGCCTAGCAAATGGGAAGCGGTGCTTAACGTAGATGGTGGATATGTTCCGGAGTAATTATTTTAACATGTCATTGCTAGATATTTCTATCGTTTCTTCAAGCAAAATTTGCTGAAAGCAATCCGCAATAATCATGCATCAAAATAATAAATAGTGATCCCACGCCAATCTTTAACATAGCCACAAAGCTCCTGCAAAGCGGTGACTGGATGCCGCGAAAGTTTATAGACTCAATCGCTGCCTTTTCATAGCTATCCTTCATATCCCTTCAAACTCTGGGATATGCACTATTTTGTGGAGCTTCATGAAACTAGCTTGAGGGTATATCAGCTACGACTTAGCGATGATCCGATTTATCTCTAAAGAACGGGAAAACGAAGTTTGCCTTTTCGCCTGAATTTGAGAATTCTTACGGCGATACTATTCTTACTCAGGCTCTGACGAAAAAGCATGATTGTGCGCTTCCTTTGGCTTGTCCCAATTTGCATGACGAGGTATCAGAGAAGTTCATGACTTCGTTCCCATGGTATAATGGTGCCAAAAATCTCTTTAGTTCCCAGAATAGATGGAATTCATTACCATTAGATGTTATTCGATAACTACATATGTACTTATGGGAAGGACACATGAGGAAGACCATTCAAATAAGATTAGTTCAGTGACAATTGCAGATCATTCGAAGAAGCATAGTGAGCCAAACCAAACAACAAAATACAAAGTTGCGCAGAAAGACACATCAGATATGTATGAGCGGTAAAAACTGCTTTTGCACAATTTTAAATCTTGGTTGGACGTGATCTCGAAATTGCAAAATTTCTACGCGATCTGGGCTGCTTGACACTACGGATGCTGTCAATGAGTTAAGTATGTTCTACAATATACCTGATAAGCATTGGAAAGGCAGCACTGTGTTTGTGAAGTTAAATCGGATTTCCGTCTTAAGCACAATGGTTGATTGATCCCTGCAAAATGTTTCATCTCTTAACTGGTACTACTGTCACCCAATTCCTAACAATGTTGTCATTATTTTTGGGCTTATTTCAAACTAATGACATCATTGACATCAAGATTTCTCGGCAATCAGCGCTGTGTATGAATGCTCCATAGATTGGAAACTTCCACTCTGTCCAGGAAAAGTTAGGTCCAGTTATATACTGCTTATGAAAGTTGTGTGACCAAGAGTGGAGTACGGCACGGGCCGAGGTAGCCCAATATAGTCGTCATATAAATTGATCATTCGCTGCAGCAATTTGCCATATCATCAAATATACTCGGATTCTGCAACTCGGAGGGTCGGAGGGAGGGGCATCGCTTTTTCTTCAATACTGAAGGTTTGAGTGCAGAGAAGGATAGGTAGCTGACCTTACCTGTGTTTCGAGACGGTTTTATGGTGAATGGTGTATGGGTTAGATATCCAATTGTCTCACCCACCTCGGTGCTCCTTCCTTCCTTGAGCTTAGGTCAACAACTGTTTTTCGGTTGAGAAACGTTCCATTGCGCGATTATGGACTAACCTCCTTATCTGCGCTCTACCACTCAATGTTGAAAAAACCGGTTTTTCAGTTACATTATCAACTCTGATTTCTATAGAAAAATACATAGCACGATGCCAGTACAGATCGAAAACATGGTTTGAAATACCCACTTCGCTCCACATTACTCACTTCACTCCGCAGTACTCACCTACTCCATTAACCTACCCATAAATTTACTGCTTCACATATATGAAGGAAATGTGGTGTAGAGCTGGGCTCCCCACATCACTACCTTTATCTTGATCACAAAGTTCTGCGGATGGACAGACCGACAGACAGATACACCAAGTTACTGCTTTATAAGTAAGGGAGATAATAGAGATGATGTCTCAGAGAGCTCAGTGAATAAATGAGCCTCGATTCTCATACCTTGCGGGACCGCATTGTACTCTACTTCGAATTGAACACAATACCAATCAAGAAAGCCTACCAATGTTCGACTCTGCCATACCATTCGGACGTTTTTTAGAGCGCTGACCGTATACGCATTGGAACTTCATGCTTCAGAAATGTCCATCAAAACGAAAAAGGGTACCTATGAGGATAATAGCGCCATTCCCTACCTGCCGTTACATGCAACGAACATACTGCAGGTCGAAACCCCAAAACAATGGGCAGCAAAGAAGCCAATACGATGACGTGCAGAAATAAATACATAGGTGGCCAGGTCAGTGCCCACTCACTCACAGCACACATTTTGTCGGACGAGGTGTAAACTTAACGACTACGAAGGAATGAAGGCCTGATTACCTGATTCTGGCTGCTAATGAACTTGACTCAGTTGGCCCTCCAATTTTTCCCAACTCAACATTGCCTTCTGACAAAAGCCATCACCGAATGACTTGGGACTTCGACGCACGCACCCGCACAGTGTAAGTTTAGGGACATTAACTCTTTGCTAGATGTCCTCGGTCATTCCAAAAATAAACTAATGGCAATTTCACACTTCAAGAATGCATCTTACAAAACTTTTATCGAGAACGAAGCAGAGGGCTTTGGCATAGGTTCAAACCTCAATCGAGTAAATCTGAACCAATAGTCAGCAGAGCCATAACCGAGTTCTCAACTCAACTCCTAGTCATGGCTCAGGCCGAAACTGCTGAACGCTAGTCAGTCCCCTTCTTATGGTGCGCCACCGCATTCAGTTTCCACTCACAAATGTATGATGCTTTGAAAGAGTACGTGGTCTATTCAACAACCTGCATTGATCAGCCGATCTACATATCAGTGCTCTTAAACCGGGAAACAAGAAAGTAGTGCGAAGTACATATTTACACCTGATCCCGACCAGAATTGACTGGAATCTTTTTTCTAGTATACAGCTGAGTCCTCTTAAGCGAACTGATTGCGTATTGATTATCAACAGCAAGCACCCTCGTCCTTAGTAAATGCAACCCTGAAGATAAGTAAGCTTTATCGTAGAACATTAATGGCACAGAATTGAAAAAAGTGGTTGTTCTTTTTTTAAGGACGACCTTTTTGGCATAAATAATGGAGCCAGGAGATGTCTTTACGTTTGATAGTAGCTCTCTCAAGATTAGCAGAAAATCCACAGTGAGCAAAAGTAAGTAGTAACAATGCGAGTAGAGCGTAATTTTGCGTAGCAAGTCGAACTCCGGATGTGCAGCACCCGAAGTTGTTTCAAAGCCACCCGTTGTTCTCGCCCAATCTTCCGTCAATGGAAGTGTGTGCACAGAAAGATTGTCAGCAGTGGCGCCGAGAACGACAGCTTCAGCCGTCTTCTCTTTTTGAGAACTATTCAATAGTTAGCGAGTCGCCCTTGTCACCATTATAGTCCTGGATTCCTGCTGGATTTCCCACCTCTCTGCGACGAAATCACGATGACATATGGTCACAGTCCGCTGGCTAGCATACGCCGATCCGACTGTGATGAATGAAGTGATGGACTTGTGACAAAGACGGAAACTGTGGTTGGGAGGCGGTCAGATGGCGGCTATTGCACCAGAATTCCCACAGCAAGTGGTCTTGCATCATTTATCAGTTCATATTAATCCCTTTAATGGATTTGGTAAAAAGACTTGATTCCAGCTTTCGACATCAAGAACACAAAAAGTTTAAAATAATACAAACCTACAAAAAACAATATATTTCTAACAGTATCCACCAGCCTGCTGAATCGCTTCTATGTAGGTTTCTCATGTCTCTAAATTCACTCAAAAAGGCATTTCTAATAAACCTCCGCCCACCATTGATAACGATGGATATGAGCTTCCAACTTCTACAGCAAAACGAGAGGTCTACTTAGCTTACACGAATTTTTCCTGCATGAAAAGTTATAAAAGTAAGACAGAATTTCTCGAAACTAGCAGTCTAGGAGCTCATTTTTGGCTGAGAAGGCTTGTTCGAAGGAACATGCAATTAATACCAAACTTTCTAATGCAGTGCCAGATTGAGACCAATCCAGAAGTTACCATGATCTGAAAATAACAACGACTAGAGTAACCACACGAATAACATAGTTGAACATTTCTATTTCCTCTTATTGCTAAATTCATGAAAAAAAAACATGCGAGATCTTGGAACAAATGGAACCACATGAAAATGTCGCCAGGACATTTTCTTTTCTCTGCACGGCTCCCAGGCAATGAAATAAGCCAGCATTGAAGATCACATGTTGGCGTAAAAAAGTTTGGGAAAGCACCGATTGCAGTTAGTGGTTGAGCAAAACCAGGAAGTCCTCCTAACTGGCACGAACGCTGCCCGGGGACTCGTCACTCCATGAAAGTTCACAAATGTAAGTTTTGCTATAAAACTCAAGAAAATAAAGGAAGACCATAGCAGAGCTCGATTTCTCGCTGTAAGGAACCTGGATGCAGTTTAATAAGGCTCATATGTAATATCCCTCCCAAAGCCTTCGTTTTAATTTTCGGGAGTCGGAATTTCTGTTGATGTTTGTGAGTTTATTCATTATTTTTGGCCGAACGTCCATCATATGGTCACTGACTTCGGTTCCATTATTCGCCGTAGTCTTCATGATCCAGAAATATCGCTCGCATATTTAAAAGTCAACATATCGGGACACCTGATCAAATAGGAAAAGAGCCATCCTATTGGCCAGTGCTGTATAAAGACAAGGAATTAGCACACTCACAGCCATTCTAGATTTTCCGCTAGCTGCCAAACAAATGAACTCTATCCAATTTCACATTTTCATACGTATTATATTTATCGTCGCTTCGAGCGCGGCAGTGGCTACATTCGATCGTAACGCTAGCCATCCTTACATTGTGAAGAAGACTTGGGTGGAGAATTTCGTCAGATTTCAATACGTTTTCGAAAGAAAGGGAGCAAAAGCAAAGATTATCCCACTAGGTATGGTCAGCACTTTCTTACGGTCTGTGGCAGACCTTTTATGGGTCGGTGAAAAACATGATTATATAGGAGATCCAAACCGCTCAGCTTCAATGCCGATAGGTTTCAGGTTGCGTGCCAACTAACCGAGATGATGGCTTCCTCTTGGAAGTTGGTGAACGATTTATTGGAACAGATTTCGTGTTTGCATGTGAAGAAAGTGAAGATGGTGTTATAAGCTACGATGCAGTTGGTGAGTTTGGAAGCAGTTTCTGACGTTAATAATAACGTTGGGTGAACTATGAATTGGTGACGAGGAGAGTTTAATGGACTACCGTCTTGGAGGGCTGATCAGTTGTGATGACGACCCGTTCAATCGAGACGCCCCAGAGTTGCAGTATGCAACGTTACCATTACTAATAAGCTGAAAATTCTTATTCTTCTGTTTTTTGTAATATGGCTGATAGTCATCGGCCTAATACGACAACAGCACAGTGGCGAACTCAGTCTGAACTTTCCCCAAAACTGCACTCCGTTCTACACTGCATATAATACTCATGCTGTCCGGTTACGGAATCAAAAGCTAATTCAGCGTGCGTTGACATGTTGGGCAAAGAAATGATGCTGGGTGAAATGCGTAAACTCGCCAATGGCACCGTCGTTCTTCATTGCAATATCTACGGTGGAGCACTGAAAAAAGTTGTTGAACGAGGTTAGTGTCATTTGTAGTTGCTCTGTGTACAAGTGAAGCAAAATATGTAGTAAGGATCAAAATGGAAGCTGCTGAGACAGAATCATCGTGATGTCGATACTCCTTGCTGTTTCAGTGGACTTTCGAGTCTATTCAGATAATCTTTGAACACTATCTGAACGTAATTATAGGGCATTTACTTGAAATGACTGCGATGATCTTCAATTTACAGATATGCGGAAATTTGCCGAAATGATTAACTATTTGTCTCCTCGGCGCAAAATGAAAGGCTCGAGCAGAGATTTTAAAACTAATTAATTCAGCGGCTGGTTGCTTTTTCAACGAAACTATCTATGGCGAAGATGAAATGTGGATAGAACCACTCAGAAATGGGAAAAGAATGAGAAAGAATAAGGTAGACTACAGTTTAATTATATGACATATGTGTCAATTATATGTCATTTTTATCATGTGTATAAGGCGCTGTCTTCTAACATTTATTTGTCTGTCTTTTCGTCTGTCTGTGTCTGTCTCTGTCTGTCTGCCTTTCGGTCTGTCTGTGTGTCCGTTTGGCAGTCTGTTTGTGTGTCGGTTAATGCGTCCAGTTGTGGTTCATTCGCTATTTCGTTAAGAAAAAGTGAAGAGGTCCGATGGAGTCAAGTAAGGACATACATACAGCAAAGGGAAGAATTGTTTATAAGTTAGGCGTGGGTCAACAGATGGGAAGGAGGGGCCAACGCGGTGTGCTTGCCGTTCTCAATGTAGGTGGTATTACTATACTGATGCTGCGGGGCAGAATGGAATCCAGAAAAAATGTAAAAAAAGAGCAAGATTTGCTGTGTGCCAGATATGGCGAAACCAAGTGATGGGCAAGTGTGCTTACTTGATAAAGGCGCCTACAACGGAAAACCATATGTGGATTCGAAAACGTTTCAGAAACTATATGGGCACTACCAAGGAAAAGAACCTAACCGTCTAGGGCCGAAATGATCACCTTTAAAAATAACTTTTAGATCGGCTATCGAAGAGCCAAATAAGGAGCTGTTGCTCATTGGCGTAAACAACATGCCAATCTTCACTCACATTGGATACATGATTGCTTCCAGATTCAGAAGAAAATACCTTCAAATGGCAATAGTTCACGACTGACAGGTCGCCTCATGGAATGCTTTCGTCCACATCACAGTTACTATGAAAGCCACGTAATCGGTAGGTTGACGATAGAAGTCCAATAAAAGTAGAAGGGAATCGACCGTATGTATAGAAATGACCCTTTTGAACCGAATCTGTAGCAGTTACCTCCGAAATTATTATTAGGCTGTGCAATTGGTCGTATTGGCGTACGTTTCGAGGAATTCGTCGAGTTAGATCGAGGTGTCTTCGCTCAATGTGAGCAGGACGACACAGGAAACGTCAGACTTCGACCTGTGCAACTAGATGGTATGCTTTTGTGAGCTAAATTAATCAGCAACACAGGACGTTTTGTCAATCCTACTTCTAGGCCATATCTCACTTTCAGATCTGTCATGTACGTATAAAAATCAGTCCCATGCCCATCTTAGCACGTGGACCGACAACGAGCGTGCTGCCCGGATGACATGCAGCTATGGAAGCCCACAAAAAACAGGTACTTGAGTCGCCTTGTTGTATAGCGTGAACGCTGAACTGTCATGTGGAGCAGTTATGTGCACTCATCGTCTGATCCATCGGTGGACACGCTGCAGCTGCTCCCGTTGTGGAGCAACAACGAGATAGCAACACGCGTGTACCTGATAATTACATAGTACATAGAAATCCTTGTTCAACCACAGCAGTTATCTATGTGATCAGCTGCAATTTTGTCATCCAGCACGATGAAAACAGTAGCAGTTCTTCAAATGACGCTCGTTTTTAGGTTGTTCCTTCAACGGTTTGTTATTTGACATTGGTCAGGAGCTGCCGTTGTCAAATGGCTGCATCTTTTTGTGCCATCCTCAAAGCAACGTCTATGTATGCGATCAGCGGTTAGGCAACTGGACAGTAAATGAGCACCGAGGTTTACAAAGAACTAGTGGGAAAGAGTTTTCTCTATTTAATCTGTAACTGCTTTATCTGTATACGTATGTTTCCATCTATTTGAGTGAACTCGCCTCCACAACGCCGTCTTCTGTACATAAATCATGTTGTAATAGTGCCTCCTGAATCATTCATCATACTGATACCTGCTTGTAACCATGATGCGCCATCAGCCCGAGCGTTTCGAATCATGGGGTACATGTACAATACATGATAAGCAATATGCACAGAACATTCGCGATAACATATAACACAGTCGATGTGAAGGGTCTGAGCGTGGCTCACGGTGGCCGTTCTACACCAGTGGACTGCTTGCGGTTCTTGCGGCAGCGAGGATGAGGTCAGTTGTGAAATAAACGAGCATCTGCACGTTCGATAACTATCACTAGGTAAAACTAGGAAAAGTATAACTACATTGGGGAATGGATTGATGTAAAGAAAGGAAACGGAAATCGGAGGACTTTGATCTCGTTACGTCAAGCATTCTTAGAATCATTAAGAACTGGGTGGTTTAACAAATCAATTTTTGTCAGCTGCGCCTGCCAGGAAACCAACTTCTATTGGTTGACTTGAAATAGCTTATGACAATCCAGTCAGAAAACACCCTGTCCAACGGTCATCGACTGAAGTGTCCGCCCCGCCTAATCAGCGATTTCATGGCGTAAATAACAGCATCCCTGATCTTGATTCGTTGACCGAACTCGAAACTGCGGGAGCGCTTCTGCACTTGTGTGTAAGAGAAATTCTGACCATCGTCTTTTCCAAAACGCGTTGAATGACGCTGGCATCATGTTCACCTTGCTCTCGTGGAGCCATGTTCCCAAGGCGTACGTCAAAGCAGGAAAGACAGCAGTGTCGAAAAGATGACCGTGGAGCCCAATGTTCTTTGTCAACTTTACTAATCTCTCGATGTTCTTATATGCTCCCCACGCTGCTTGTTACCTTCTACTCGGCTACGCCGTTCATCATCCGACCTCGATACACATAGCTAGAGCACTCGGGAATATTCGTTCTGTTTAGCGTAAAGGGTGCAACAGGTACTGTCTCGTTTCTCAGGAGCATCGTCTTCGTTGGGTTCAGTTTTGAGCCAATCTTTCCACAAGCCGGTATGTCGAATTCGGCAACTTCATTCCGCCTGATCGATGTGCTGTGTTATAAGCATGATGTGAACCGCAAAACGGAGGTGATTTGAGTAGCGGCCGTTCCGAATGACGCGTGATGTTCTAAAGAGCGGCACTGAAAATATGGGCGGAATAATGCCGCCCTGTCGAACCCTTCTCCACACTTGAAAATGACTTACCTAGAGAATGGTGAAATCTGGCCGTGGTGCTGCGGAAGAACTGCAATCATGCTTATGTATCGTGTAGAAACACCCTGGTTGCCTAGGGCTTCAATTACCGTTCCTGTTAACAGTATAAGAGGCCTTCTTTGATAAACGACATCAGGCAGACAGACGTGACGGCATCTTCATTCTTGCGAAATTTTAATGGGTCTTGTGTCGGTGTGAATGTGATTAATTGTACTGAACAATCTCAGAAAGCCTGCCCGCCCGCATAAAGTCCCTCATCTGATCTTCTACCAAACCTGTTGAGAGTGATGCGTGTGAAAAATCTGAAGATTACAGGCGGTGGCAGATTGGGCAATAGTTGCCAATATCACCGGGATCCTTCCCCCNCCCCCCCCCCCCCTCCCTCCCTCCCTTTTTGTACAGCGACATTTGCTACTTTTCCCGACGTAACCATTTTGCATTCCAACAGGTACCGCGTGAAGAGCCGAGCGAGAACTCCGATAATGAATGACGCAAGGTTGGGTTGATCTTCTCTGGGACCGCGAGCCGTACAAGTCTGCATCGACGTGTTGGCATGTCGAATTTGGGAAGGCAGGATCGAGAGACGACATATTCACTCACCTAGGATGTTAGGTAGGCAGATAGATGAGGCTGTCAAGAGATTCAAGTAAAGTCGTAGATGACCTTCTCTGTCCTCCAGGTGCAGTAAGATTCCCGTCAAAACGACAGGACAACGAAGAGGAATCATCTTATACTTGTAACTGGCGAATCACCGTAAGACTTTACTGATGTTCTTTCCGGCCACGATGGCTTCGTCCATAACTGCTGCTCTTCTCTCCCACGGATCTTTCTTTGCCGCTTCTGTGCATAGCGCATCTTCGGACGTCTACTGATGACTGCCTGTAACACGCGCAATTCCCACCTGGATCAGCTCAAATGTCTCCGAGGAAAGTAGTTCTCGGCTATTTGTAGACTCTCTACTTTCCTAGCACTAACAAGATCCATCGATGTCGACGACGGAATCTTCCCAGAAACTCGCAAGGGAAGTGGTCCCATTTGATGGAAGTCTTGGGGCTTCGTTTTCTGAACTTCACAGCTCTCTCTTCACACACTAAAAAACAGAGTTCAGCGTGGAGGAGACGATGCTCCAATCCCGTTTGGAACTTCGGCAAATAGCGATGTCTGTCAAGCAAAACTTTCGATTGAAGAAGATGTGATCTATTTCATTACGGGTCTACCCACCAGGTGACTCCAAAGTCCATCCCAAATGAGGGAGCTTCTGGATCTGTGAATTACTACGAATGGTGCGGGTCGACATGATAAACTCGTGCCTGCCACCCTGCTCATTCCACTCCATATCGTTAGTGCCGTTATGTAGCTTCAGCCGTTCTTTTGGAGCCAATTATATTAGATTGATGCGTAATTATTGCGGATTTTTTTTCAACAAACTTATATAAATAAACGATAATAATACCGAACAAAAACGTGTCCAAATAATTACTCCGGAACCTATCTCCCCTCTACGTCAAGCACTGCTTCCCATGCTAGGCAGTCGGTTTTCCAAGGCGGACAGGTTTCGATTCTTGGCGACTCCACGACTTGACGTCAGCCATCAAGACATCCGTTTCGTCGTAAATTCCATTCCCCAGTCAATATTTTAATGGACGATTCAAGTGATAATCCATAGGAGTTCCTGACGGTTAATATTGAGGAGCGAATCCCATTCCTTACTTGACTTTGGCTGTCTGTTCCATCACCAAAGAGTTCGTTGAGATCGCGAAATGACGCCTGCCACCTTCAACCTTTTTCGAAGTAATAAAGCATAATGTGGCGAACATGAATATAACTTTACAGAGACGTTTCTGTTGAGGAAACCCAGAAGATCATTTCCATGAGGACCCGTACTCAAATGTATCGCGAAATAAGAAGCCGCGAAAAAATCCGCAATAACTATGCTTCAACCTAATAGCTTTGAAATCACCGACAATGACTTTGAAGAGGATTGGTCCTCTCTAAAGAGCCTTCCTAAGCCCAAATAAATGCTTCCAGCTCCTCTTCTTCTTAGCAGACAACGAAGAGAAGATTGTTAAAACTGGGGTTGACTACATCTCCTTTATAGTAAACGTCCGATACTGATTGTGGAGCTTTAGTACGAACCGATGCTCATGGCCAAGTTCGTATTGACGAGGACACCTACGCCGCCGACGCCTCTACTGTCGCATGTTCCAAGGAACAGTTCTTCTCCAGTCTCAAATACAGCGTGCAGCGGGCGATGCCTTCTCGTCTCGGTCAGTCCGATGACGTCGTACTTGATCTTACTAGATTGCATCATCACATCTTCGATGCAATCGTTCGTGCATTGGGAGTACAGATCGCCGTCTTGCTTCTTCTCCTTTCGGGCAGCCTGTTTTGGCCCTGAGATTTTACCAACTTTTTCCGTGCGGTCCTATCCAATGCTGCCGTACTGGTAGACTCCATCAAGGCAGGAACTAACTCAACCGCGGACTTCCTGCAAACGTGTGCGTGGATACACCTACGAGCAACACGAGGCATGTCGACCAAGCATAGCAGTAGCAAGGAGCCCACCCCCTGAATTCATCCATATCTGAGCAAGACCGACGGCTTTCGGTCGGTGATTCACACCCCCCCCCCCTCTCACCTGGGGAAACCTACGACTCTTTCAATGAGAACTTTAGCGAAGGCAATCAGTCGTCCAAAAACTATAGGCGCAGAAATTCAGAAAATTTCGAAATAAAAGATGAAGGATAACCTGAGGGATGTGCCCACGCATTCGACTCCCATTCAGAATCGCAGTGGCGTATTGAATGCGACCATGACCTGCGGTGGCCAGCCGATATAAAAGTCAGTGCTTCTATCCTCCCAGACGAGACTAGTACCAATCAACCGACCTCGGAGGACGGAAGGCTTGGTTGGCCTGGGAATATCGATTCGGGATTTGATCCCGTGCTGATGCGTGGGTGAAGTGCGCCACTTACCACTAGACCACCAAGAAATGCAAAAGGTTGTTAACTTTTTTGAAAGTAAACACATCCCTCTATCGTTTCCGCTGACGAGAGTATTTTCACAATAAAGACAATCTTCGAGAAATAAAACGAACACGTCCTGTTTGGAAACTTCGAAAATGAAGTCTATTTCGGAAAAGTTTCCATAAGAACAACAAAATGATATATATCGAGGGAGTCACTGGTAATGGTAAGACGTCTATACTGATGAAGTCGGCAGTTGGCATAGGCAGTGCCGGCGTGAAAAATTAACGAAGACATGTACTCCAAGAGCATACTTATGGAAGTACTGAAGCACTAGTCCGGCTCCACTTCCTGAAACAACCAGAGCGGCGATCCTTCCAGCAGAGCGATACTCCAGCCCATATAGCCAAGTTTGTCCAAAGGCGGTGTCGACGCAAGCTGCCGACTTCATCAGTATAGACGAATGACCATCCGACCTGGAGGGTGTGCGACGTTAGTCTCGAATGATATTGCTTCGCGTCGAGGTGCGAAGTGACCTCATTAGTGACTAAC